CCCTACATGCTATAATATCTTTGTAAGGAATGTACCCTCTGAAATGGGACATGTTCGTGTAAGTCTCATTTTTCTCATCTGTAAAATGGGGATTAATTTGAAAAGATTGAATGACATGAAATACCAACAGAGAATCTAAAACACTGGGATTGCTTAATAAATAACAGCTGTTATTACTCTTATTCCTAAAATGATCCGTAAAGGAAGAGACATCAGAAGCTGGGCTATGGTCAGACAAGAAGGTATTAGAAATTATATAGATGAGAGTAGCTATTCTCAGGAAAATGGAACAGGGAGTCCATTATATGCCCCCAACCCCTGGCCCATGGAAGTCTTGTAATGTCTTCCCAATGGAAGACATTAACACTTGAAGGTCCTCCATCTTCTGGGGATCTTCAGGAATCCAGAAAGCAACCAACACTTGAAGTCAGGTGGACAGCTGTCTAATAGTTCTAGGCAAGCAGACCTTCCACAGCACAATCCCAGTGCCTGTTGTGGGTGGATAATCTCTGTGCATTGCTCATTCCATTCTCCCAACAGGTCTCCAAAGTGATCTTTATTATCTCTATTTGACAGATAAAGAAACCAGGACTTGAAAAGCAGTAGAGTCTTGCTTTCCATGGGGTTGGAACATGATCTGACAGAGAAAAAATCATATGGGTTGGACTTAGTGGGGTCTCTAGCTCTGATTTCTGGAGATATGAGAGTGTTATGCAGGGAGGCAAGAGGGGAAATGACGACGATGGTGCCTATTTTCTTGAACCCTTATCATCACTTGACGTTAATATTTATAAATGCGTCGAGATGTAGAATAAATGAAGAATGCAGATTGCATGTGTGTAATTAAATTATTTTTTTACATATATTATACAGCCAGATCAAAATATAGGCCCCCACCCAAGGCCACTGGCTGAGTTATAAACAGCAGTACCGTCATAATGGGGCTTATCAGGATGAGAGAAACCCCTGTCAAATGGGAGAGAATCCATTGAGACAAGGCCACCCAAGGACCATGGCCAAGGCAGCTCTCACCTTTCTTACCTTCCCCCATGAAGCTTAAGCTGCCAAGCTGCCAGCGCTTTCTTAGTAGACAGAGCTCTCAGCCAACCTTGTGCATTGGGCTGTCTGTGGTGCTAAAGTATTGGAGATGGCTGAGCAATGGGTTCGGTCTTCAGGAAGAAAATGAATTTCGCACTTGTGTTACAGCATAGTTGTGCTTGATGCTTGCTGCCCATTACAAGAAAAAGGTCAGCATGATATAGTACTTGTCCAGAGCTCAGCTGGTAAGAACAATAAATACTAACAGAGTCGCCAT